TCACCTCACCAAGGGATAGCATCCTCCAAGGGAGGGCTATGCCGGAGGGCTGGTTTCCTCAGAAGAAAGTAAAGCAAATACTTCGATGTCTAGAAGAAAGTCAATCAGCCTGAATAGCAAACACACAGAGAAATTTCCACTTGGTCAAAGTAGTCCCACTGACAAGACGGTTGGGCAGGGAGCCCTGTGAATGAATTCTTCCTGTAAAAAAGCTCTGGTTACATTCAGCCAGGAAAAAGTACTGTAAGAACATGTTTATAAAATAATCTTAGTATACACTTATTGTGGAAAACTTAGGAATTACATTTTTAAATCTTAAAATTATTCAGAATTCCCATCACTAAGATAAATCACAATTAACAGTTTGCTACATATCCTCTAAGTCTTTTTCAAAAATACTTATGCTTACTGTTTGTTGTAACTCTGAAGTCAGTTTCTTTGTTGATTTGCCTTAGTTTATATCTCATGTAGCATTGTAAACATGCAGCTAAATTTAACATTGCAAATCAATTTCCTACCTTATTAAGCACGGTTTCCAAACATAATTTCAGTGAGTGTATAACATCCTCTCATGTAACTTTACTTAACCATTCTTTAATACGATATAGATTTTGAATATATATATATATATATATATATTCTGGGTCAAATATGTTACTTCACCATTGTTTTAGTATAGTATAAGTTCTCAATGTAGAAATACTAAATGAAAAATTTATACTTCTAAGACTTTTGCTATATGCTAAATAATCCAATTCCAATGAATTAATGTACTTCCTGGCATATAGAAAATAGTATATTAAGGCTAGTTAACTTTAGTAGAAATTTTCTATTGAAAAGATTGCACCAGGTAATAGTTCACTGTTATTACCATCTTACCAGGAATACTTCTGAGTCCCTATTAAACTTTTACTTCACATTTAGAAAGGGGTCCCAAGATCTGAGAGACCAACATCACCAGGTACGTACTGTAAAAATTATGTACTGGATTTAGATGTGGCACTTGCTTTACTTCAGTCTCTCTAAACTAAACTTTCAGAAATGTTCCACAGATTTAGCAGCTGCTCTCTACCCATCAGGTCCAAAACATACATAGTTTACATTTCCCAAAATGTAAAGAAAAGGCAAAAAGACAGACACACAGACATAGAAAGACAGCACTTGTGTCTATACCGACATGAAAATTGGTCTGCGTGGCTTGCCATTCTTTTAGGAATAGCTTCCTATTTTATCTCAGCCTTAGTCACAGAAAAACTAACGTTTATTTTCTCTTTCATAAAACACTCGATATACTACTGTAACTATGAACATTTGATTCTCCCGTGTGTTTTGAAAGACTTTTCTTGAATATACCAAAATGTTTTGCCTTATACTTTCACATAAGGATGATTTATAAGGGTTTCTTACAGATCCATGCTGTTCCACCCACAAGGGTTGACCACTGGTCACTCTTAAAATTGGGAGAAAAATAGCTCATTAAAAAGCAATATTATATCTCTTATTCAGCTGCCATGAAGTCCAACTTGAACTGCAATATATTTTAAGCCTGAGCTTGTATCCTTTCCAAATCTGGCTTTCAAACCACACTTCATATTAATACAACAGTAGTCCAGTGTGTTCTGTTTAATCTATAAAATTTCACCCTAATGTTGCTTGGATAACAAGGAATCTATTTATCCTGCAAGAAAAATTATTAGTCTCAAGTGAAATTTCATTATGAATTTTTCCATTCTATCAGTAGGTGTATGTGTTGCCACTATCCAAGGAGTTCAGCTGCACTGTTACAAGCAAACTGTGCTGTATAACATCATCAGCTGCACAAGTTATGTGGGTGAGGACGGCTATTTCAGTTTGAAGGTCAGGGGTGGGGATCCTGCCTTAAGGCTTGCAACTTTCAAAAACACAGGCCACGTGTTCAGCATTAGATTCACATTTTAGATTGTAAACAACTAAAATGCTGCAGATGAGTACACTAGATACAGTAAATAAAGACAAATATTAACCTATGATCTCAACACTCGTACACCAAGAGCTCTGCTTAGGACATATGCTCCTCATCAATGCAATAAGCACTTCAGAGATTGCACATAGTAAGGATTGCTTTTGTAAAAAGAAAAAAAATGAAAGGAGTTACAGAAATGGGAGGAAAGAAGGAAAGTAGGAAGCAAAGGAGGGAGAAGGCAGAAAAGAAGCAGAGAAGGAGGAAAACAAGAAACAGAGAGAGGCAGAGGGAGAGAAGGGCCCAGAGTAACATAGCCACATACAAACTTGGCTGTCAGACTTTGGGGCTATGAATATGTGTGTTAATTCAGGACCAATGTCATACTGATCTTGATTCTAGTCACTTGGATTTATTTTCTTCTCTTGCTGATTTTAGCTCTGTGATATGATCTTACTAGATGTTTGACAGGCCTGGTATCATCAGCATCCATTGCTACCCACAGTCTTTATTCTAACAGAATCCTTCCTTCCTTCCTTCCTTCCTTCCTTCCTTCCTTCCTTCCTTCCTTCCTCCCTCCCTCCCTTTCTTCCTTCCTCCCTCCCTCCCTCCCTTCCTCCCTTCCTTCCTTCCTTCCTTCTTTCCTTCTTTCCTTCTTTCTTTCCTTCCTTCTTCCAGATTCATTGCTGCACACCACTGATTTAGTTTGGAATTTCCTACACTGGACCTTGGTTAACTTTGTCATTAAACAGGAAGAGTCAAATCCCCCATGCTACACCTTTGTCCCTATTAACCTCACACTGATTTTCACTGGGTTGGCTGTTTTAAAAGAATCTCTACCTAGATTTCCCTGGAGCTCTAAACTTTTAACTATTCTGAAGAAAATCATAAATATCTTTATGACTTTTCAATGTAGCCAATAGAACCCAAAATGTATTCTCAGGTGCAATTTTGGAAAGAATATTTCCATCTCTACAAAGAATAATTAGCATGAGTCAATCTACATGAAGGACAGTCAAAGGTAAGCTTGGCTTGCTAACTCTCTCTCTCTCTCTCTCTCTCTCTCTCTCTCTCTCTGTCTCTCTCTCTCTCTCTCTCACACACACACACACACACAAACACAAACAGCAAATCAGTATTTTCTTCTTAGATTTAAGTAGTCTTTCTTTGATAAAAGTTAAAAAAATACAGCCATATATTTCAAATCTATTTTCCAAATTGTATGACATTAATATGCATACATTTTTAAAAAACAGTTACATCCTGATTGTCAGAAATTTATAGTAAATAAAAGAATGAAAATCATTCACAAGCCATTATCTTTGTTTTTAAGAACTATGTTATAGATTATCATAGGATATTTATAGTTTTGTCATATTTTTCAAGCAGCTGAAATGTAAGGGTTTTAGGACCACAATACTACTTTCTAAATTTTCATCTTCTTTGATCATGAAATTCTGTGAATTAATTTTTCTTGATATCTTGGTTACTTTTCTCTCATTGCTGGCACAAAATACCTGACACTCAAACTTAAGGAAGGAAACGTTTATTTAGCTCACAGTTAGTGGAGGTTTCAGTCCATCCTCAGCTGGCTCCAGGGCAGAGTGGCACATGGCAGTGGGCAGCTGTTCACGGCAGTGGAAAACAACAAAGAGCAAGGGGAGAAGCAGCTGCTGTGGCAGCTAACAAGGCTCTTCCCCTTCCTTACATTGTATGCAGATTACCTATCCCAGGGTGGGTGGAGCACTCACAGCTATAATCCCATTATTGAATTATGAATTAATCACAATCTCTAGAAAGAAGCCTTCCCCAATGACTGTATGAGGCTTTGTGGGGAAAACTAGACACAAACCATAACACATACCCTCATGTTTAACCACTTAAAGATTTTGAACTCAACATTAAAATTTTACTTGTAGAAAATTGGAGTGAATTAGTAATCCAGATAAATCTCACATGAAAATGTTCTGAAGTTAATGTGACCCACCAGAATCACTGCAGAAGTACAAATGTAGCTAACCAGATTTTGGAATGCTTTGCATAGAAACGAACATCAGATAAACTAAAGGGCAAAAGCTGTGTGACAAGACTCATACATTTAAGTGATATTGAAAGGCAATCAAATGTACCTTCTTCTGTATTGTTTCATACCTTATCTTCCCCTTTAATCCAATGAAAATCCCAAAACATAAACTGAGATTTTGTCAGGTTTCAGAGAGGCAAATGCGGGACAGCCAAGAGCCCTCCAAGACGCAAAATTCAGATCTGAAGACTCTGAAGTTAGGTCCAGGAAGTAAGATCACAGGCAGGAGTTGGAAGTGCTCAGAAGCCAAGCATCTAAATGTTCATTTCTCTAGCCCATTTTTGACTGGGTCTTCAATTTTTGAACTTTTTTTAGTTCTTTGTATACTGTGGCTATAATTTTCTGTGTGAGTGGCAGCTAGTAAATCTTTTCCTATTCTGTAGGTTAATTCTTCACTCTACTGACTGATTCTTTTGCTCTACAAAATCTTTTCAGTTGGATATAATCTCACTGTTGGTTGACATGGCCAACTTTGCTGCTATTTCTTGTGTGCTTGAGGTTCTTTTTAGGAAATCCTTTCCTATACTGATTCTGAAAGTGTTTTATCTATTTTATCTTTTAGAATGTATAGTATGTCCATTTTAATGTTTAGATGTTTGATCTATTTCATTGTGATTTTTAGTATGTTGTGAGAGAGGATGGCCAAGTTTCAATCTTCTACAGGTGACCCATTTTCCCAGCAGCACTTGTTGAATAGGTTGTCTTCCCTGAAGCATTTGCTTTTAGCCCCTTTGACAAAGATCAAACAGTTGAATATGGGACATGACCATTCTGGAAGACAGCAGTAAGCAAATGAGTGGAGCAAAAAACATAATAAGCTACCCATTGTCTTTAGGGTTTTTTTTTGTAGAGCTAAAGGTAGAGTCCAGAACACATCTGCCAAGTGTTCCACCCAGCTACAGGCCCCACCCATCACCAAGCCATTGTGACAAGAGAGGTGTTGACAAGCCTCCAAGTTGAGGCCAATGGGTTTTTTTTTAAGAGCAGAGTCACTTGGATAATCAGCAGCCTGGAGCAGGCCTGGCCTGGTCTATCTGATCAGTTCATCACTTCTGAGCGCGGGACCGGCAGGACCTGCTCAGGGACCTACAGGGCAACTCCTGCCTACACAGTCTAGCTGCATAGCACCCTCAGGAGAAGGAGGCTTCCCAAGAGGGCAGCTTCACACTTCAGAGAGGCCTATCAGGGCTGGGGTTACAGCCAGATCAAATAAGACACAGGTGCAGACAAGAGCCCTACAGGCTCACTCACAGGCTGATTTGCACACTCAGCTGTCCCAGGAATTCCACACATAGTCTGCACACACACGTCCTCTACCCAGGCTGCTCTCCTCCATGGCCTTTTATTCCTGGTTGCTTTTCCTCTCTACAATTTAATTCCTTTAAAAATCAAATATTAGAACATCAATTATCTATTTGCTTATTTTTCTACTTGATGTGGAAACAGAGAATATAAACTAAGAAGTTTTAATTTTTTTTTTATTTATTTGAGAGAGAGAGAGAGAGAGAGAGAGAGAGAGAGAGAGTGGTGTGTGTGTGTGTGGCCAGCTCAGCCCACCAGGGGGCGGGGCTGGCTGGCATGTGGTGCTGGGGGATTGAACCGCGGTCCCTGATGCTTTGCCAAGCTAGTTCCAAGTAGGTGCTTTAGACCACTGAGCCATCTCTCCAGCCCCAGAGAATATAAACTAGAAGAAAACTCTATGTCTTCAAGGAAGACACAAAATGGTTTGCTCAGTAGAACAGATTAAACATATAAATGTCACAGGGAGAATTGCGAGATGCTCTGAGAGGGCGGAGAGGGAGGACATCACACTCAGTTGAAAAGATTTAGGCAAGGTTTCATGAAGGAGGTGACATTTCAAGGAAAAAAATTACTGAGAAAGAGTAAGATTTTTGTGTTGTGTCGAATGGGGGAAAGGTTATTTGCTAGAAAATACACAGTCTATAGATATTGCTGAACCCAATGGTAGGAACAGGATACCAGAACGATATCACCTGTGGCCAAGGCTTGAAGCTAAGTAATCTCCATTTGTCACCTTTATTCATTTGAAAGAAAGATTTTGATACAGTTTCTAACATTTAATTTGTATCCAGCAGCTCTCAAGGTTTAAAGCTGTCAAGGCTTTTCATGTAGTAAGCCACCATTTCTAGGAAGTTTTCAAGACCACAGGCCCTCGAGCCCTATCTGCTCTAGCTGGTGGCCTTTGGCTATTGTTGGCTGATAACCAATCTAGGCAAGTATCCCTGTTTTCCAAGGCATCTCTGTGCAGGTCCATTAAAAGGATTTACTCATTCCAATCAAATGGAAGTTATAGGGTAAACATAACTACAAAGACAGGAAAATTTGCCATAACAGAGTTTAATCTCCTATTTCTCCTGGTCCTGCCCTGGACCAACTGTCAAAATCTCCTGTGTGTCAATGGACTCACTGGACACACACAGTAATATTTACAGATGTGGTAAGTCAGATGTGCAGCACAAGGATATCCAAATAGTTAGGTGACAAATGTAGTCGCTGTCTCAACTGAGAACACATGAAGTCAGTCAGACAGTAAATTATGGCTAACAAGTGCAGGAGCAGTGCAAGATGGGGAAGATCTTGCTAAGTCTCGTGCTTCTTCTCTCTAGAGCATCTAGAGTGTCTCTGATGGGAGAGACAGGGGCTCGTCTCTCAGTCTGGAGGCAATAACCTGGGTGCTCTGCCCGTACCCTGAAGGGCAGGCTTGTAACCCACTGGATAAGTGAACTGAGCAAGTAAAAACCCCACTTCATCAGCCTCCTTTCTGAATTTAGGTGAGCAAGAGTAAGAAAATGAGAAGACATCTACTCACTTACCAAGGGTACCCTGAGGTGCTTCATTTTCTGGAATTGCCTTTTGTGAAAGGAAGAGATAATCTACTGCCAAATAAATATTTGCACTTGCCTGGAATTAGACAAAGAGTCCTGGTCAGCTACATTGCAGATGCTGCACATCTAGGAAACCTATATCACAGGATCTTACTTCAAGAAGCAGCACATGCTAAGTGTCATCCCATTACTACCTAAACCAACCCTCTACTTCCTCTGTGAGGATTTTGACCTCTCCTCTCTCCTTAGATTATTTTCTTATTGAGACTGGGTCTCCCCATGTAAGTTCAGCCTGATCTTGAACTGACGCTGCAGCTCAGGATGGGATCAAACATCCTTTTTTGTCCTTCAGCTCAGAAGGACAAAAAAATGTCCTTCCCGAAGGCTACACTCTTTTGATGCTGTTAATTTGCCCATTAAATGGCAGCACAAACTTGTTTTTGTTTGCTTGTTTGTTTGGGTTTTTTTGGCAGAACTGGGGATTGAACTCAGATCCTTGTGTTTGCCAGGGAAGTGCTTATTCTACTGAGCTATCTCCCCAGCCCCTGCCTATTAAATGGAAGAATCCTGCAGTTTCACTTCATAAAAGATACAATGAAAAATTTTATTTTAAATTTTTCTTCATGCTCTTCTAAAATTGATAATGCCAACATTATGAATCTAGAATTTTTGTTATTTAAAAAATAATTGTGATGTGTAATAAAATAATTGTGAGCTTATTTCATTAAGGTAATAAAGGAAATAAGTAATTCCATGCAAAGACGGAGAAAAAGATTTGATGAGCCAATTTGTCATTCTGAGTATATGAATTTAATAAAATCAACAACTGGTTGCAATAATAAGGTCTCCAATGTAGCAATCACTGCCTTCCCTGGTCCTTTTTTGGCAGATGACCAAAGTTCCTCATAACATTAACAAAAAAGTAATGGAAGTGTGTTTTTTTATAGCATCAGGGTATTTTTGGCTTCCCTTGGTTTTATTTTTCCATAAGAAATATTTTTGCCCAGCATAAATCCTTAGAATGTGACCTGATTCCAGCCACCTAAGACTCATTGAAGTCAAGGTTAAATGGGCACCTACAGCATTCCCCTTGCTTCAACTCTGTCCCTTGGACAGTGCCTCTACTTTTAAGATGATTTCTTCCATCATGTCCCAAGGTTCTCCTATTTTGTCTTAATGCCTATGTCTATGGTTCCTCGGTAGCTCTTAGGATTCTTCCTCTTCTTCTTCTTCTTCTTCTTCTTCTTCTTCTTCTTCTTCTTCTTCTTCTTCTTCTTCTTCTTCTTCTTCTCCTCCTCCTCCTCCTCCTCCT